GCTGGCCCACATGGGAAGGTTCTGGGTTTCTGGTTTGCATTCAGAGACCTCCGTCAGTAAGAGCACACCCATGTGCCCATGATGCTGTGCTAGTTAAGACTAGGCATGGGTCACAGTGTTAGATCCTGTTAGGATGCGGTCTCTCTGTCTCTCTATTTCTGTCTCTCACTCTCTTTCTCATGGGAAAATGAAATAAACTTTAAATTAGAAAAAAAAAAAAAAAGAAAGAAAGAAACAGGGGCAGGGATCAGGCCCACAGCACATCTGTGTCCCTTAGTCCTGGCCAGGCTGTCCCCACTGGTCACTGCTGTTGAAATGTCACTGAGTTTGGAGACAAAACTCCAAAGTTGACACAACTGGGGCTTAGGCAGGCTGGGAGGCCCAGAAGGAGGTAGGTTCCTGCCTTTTAAAAAAGTCTTTCTTAAAAAAGAAAATTGTAGCTCACTGACGACAGAGGAAGGAGACAACATAAAACTTTATATGGAAAAGGAAAGAAAAGCTCACTCTTCAGAGTTGGTGTTCATAAGACAGGCAGTGGGACGGGCTCCACAGCAGCCATGGTATTCACAGCCACCGTTCACAGAGTTTCACACTTTACCTGGAGTGTTCTGTTGCTCTACTGAAGGCAAATCAGAGCATCACCCTGCTCATCCTATTTGCTCACTCACCCTCCCAAAAATCGAATTATCTTACTTTTCTGTTGTTGTTTTTGCCATAGGGTGTATGAGCTTTCTGGAAAGAGACAGAGACAGTGAGGGGTAAAGTGAAAACTCTCCCCCTAGAGAGGTTGGCCATGCCACAATCCTCTCTCCTCCTGGGATCTCTGGGATGCATACACATGTGCCTGGCACAACATTCAAACCTCCAAGCCCAGGACTCAAACTGGCCATTGTGGGAACCTAGCACCCTTAACCACCACGCCACCTGCCGGCCCCTTATCTCACTTTTTCAAAAGCAACTCTCTTTTTCTTTCTGAAGCAACCTTATCTCAAATTTATCTCCATAAAACTTTCAAGGAACTCTGCGCAAGGTCTTCAAAACATTCACTGAAAATACATATTATGAAAAACGTGGGCCAGCCTCATGGCCTGGTCGTTAAGGGAGTCAGAATCAACATAGCCAAACACGGTATGAATCTGAACAACACAACAGGCCCGTGTGTCTAAGCCCAGAATCTAACAGGATGGGGAAATGGAGGAGAAGGAATTGTGCCCATGCTCCAATGGGAGAGACTTTCTCCTTTTCCCTCTCTCTGTCTTTCTCTAGTGAGTGCAAGTGCCCTCTGGCAGTGAAAAAAAAGGAAGGAAGGAAGGAAGGAAGGAAGGAAAAAGAAGAAAAGAAAGAATAAAGGAAAGAAAGAAAGAAGAAAGAGAAAGAAAGAAAAAGGAAGGAAGAAAGGAAAGAACAAGAAAAAGACAGAAAAGGGGGCAGAGAGTAGTGTGGTGGTCATAAGACACTGAATTCCCACACAGCTGACCTTGGTTTGAGTCTCAGACTTGGTCTCTTGAAGATCATACTGAGCAGGAGAGGAAAACAGAGAAGAGATTGCAATGTGGACATTTCCCCGGGAGTGATTTCTCACTTTCCCTCTCTCTGCTCTCTCCATCTCTCTTCAGTGAGTATATATGCCCTATGGTAAAACCTTCACCAAAAAAAGCAGGAAGGAAGAAATAAAGAGAGATGGAAGGAAGGAAGAAAGGGCAAGAGTAGGGCAAACTAAGTATGGGTTTCAAGATTGTCTGCACCAAAATAAACTCATACTTTAATCCCATTTTCTCACAATCTTTTTGAAGTCCCCATCTAAATCCAAGTGATTTGGCCAAAGAAATTTTACTTCAAGCTATTCTTTGCAAAAGAGGGTTAGGGGTGTCTCTGCTCAGATATTTAGAAAATGCCGCACAGCAGGCCTTTCCTGGGAGAGACAGGTTGCACACACGTGTCTGTGCTCTGCGCCATCTATAGTCACCAGCTTTTCCCCAACACTTGACATCCTGCACAAGACCTCCTGCAAAGGCAGCACCCCAAGAAGCATTTCTGCTCACACTATGGCCAAGCAAATTTGCTGCCCACCCACCACTGTGCTTTGGGGGCTTTGTGAACCCAAATGCAAGACTCAGATTTGATTACTGGGATATGTATCTCCCTAGGCTCGGCCCCACACACCCAGCCTGTCAAAGTCTTTTTGGAACTTGATGCTTGGGATCGTACTAGTTTAGGAGCCATGTCTTTCTAGCAAATGTTTCCACATGCACAAATGCATCTGCAGGGAAAGGGGAACCCATGGGTGAAGTGAACGCAGGCCTTCCATATGCCAGCTCAGCCCTGCACGCGCCACTCCTCCCGGGAGGCCAGACTGGGGCATGTTTCTTCCTAGACAAACAGCCCTACAGGGCAGGGCCCTTCCGGAGCATCAGGGAGGAGTTTTATGTGGTTTCCAGGGAGATGCGGTCAGTTCCAGTTATTTTTCTATTGAATGACCCCAGAGTGAAAAGTGGTTGCTGGAAAGCTGAATTATTACCTAATGCCAGAAACAGCTGCTGGCTAGAGGGGGAGAGGAGTGGAGAGCCATTGTCTGGGAGTTGGGGGCTCATTAATGCTCACTTCTTAAATTAGTAAGTCCTTATGGCACAAGTTTAAAAATAGCAACCTAATGATGTCTAAAAATAGCCATGATTGCTCTCCATAAATATTCAGGCTGCCAGTAAACTTCTAGTCCACTTACCTAGCCTAATAGGGTCAAGCAAGCTTAGCTTTTATGCTACATTCTTTAGGATCAGTATATTTCATGATCGACCTTAACAAGTGAGAGCTTCAAGAAGCCCCAGAATGCCTGCAGAGATAGCCTGTGTGGCCATGGGCCTAAAGGCAGTCTCAAGAAAGGGCCAGAAGAGACCTCAGAGGTCATTTGAAGATCTGGATATCTGGAGGAGCCAACTACACCTAGTTTCCTTGGGACTGTCCCCAGTTCAGCACTGAAAGTCCCTGGTCCTTGGCAATCTCTCAGTCCCAACAAGGCAGAATGGCTGGTCACCCTGGCTACCTAATGACTGCAAAAGGAGCAAGCCACTGTAATGGCACCACTTTGGGGAGGAGATTCAACTCCCCAGGATCTGTTGGTGGTCCTACTCCTAAACCCTCACGCTAACGCAGGTCCTACGTAATTGAGCAAGATAGTGTTTAAAGGAAGAATGAAAGCAAGGTCAACGCTAGCCAGGTCAGAGGTAGAACTTTCGTCCCCTGCACAGCCCCCATTTCCTCAGGTGTGAAGTGGGGATAGGACCAGCCGCTGCTTCATTAGGTTGTGGGGAATAACCAGGTAAGGCATGCAGTGTTCGTCCAGTGCTCAGGCCAGGAACGTCACCTGTGCCATGTCTGAGAAGCCCTGAAGCCCCCCTGGTCACTTTCTGCAGCCTCAAGTGGGTAATTGCAGCCCATTCCTCTGCTCTAGGGAAGAGTAGATTTTTCCTGCTAAATTCTTTGCTCGTATGGGACAGTGAAGTGATTTCAGCAGAGTCACTTGCTTTTTCTCCCTTCAGAACCAGAAGACGCTATAGGGTATGAATGAGGTTGGTGCCCTCATTTTAAAGAGAGAAGATGAGCTCCAGAGAGAGGCCCCAAGCCGTGTAGCAGCTAGGGTCATACATGGGCCCAGGACTCCAATTCTGTGATTTTGCTCATTGCCTTGCCCCAGGCAGGAAGAGGAGTTAATAGCACCCTCTAGAGACTTCCATTCTCTCACCCTCCTCTCCCCTCTTTTCCTTGCTTCCCACCTCCCTCTCCCTCCTTCCTTTCCTCTCTTGCTCCTTCCTTCCTTCTGATGTTTCATGACTGTCCGCTCCAGGCCTGTTGCTACATAGGTGCTAGATCCTTACCCCCAAGAAATGTTCCAGTGGTCTGGATTGTGCTATGCTTAGTTTTGTTTTGTTTTGTTTTGTTTTGTTTTGTTTTGTTTCTTAAAGTCCAAGGACTGACTTTGTAGCACTAGGCAGCTGGGTCATACATGGCTTACTGTGGTTCAAGTCCCCAACCTAGAAGCTTGAAGAGGACACCAGACACATGTGTCCAAAATCCTGATGGAATGGAGAAATGGAGAAGGGGTCGTTGTATGACCACACTCCATTGGGGGTGCTTCTCTCTCTGACAAATGCACATGCCCTATGGCAATTAAAACACACACACACAAAACTGCCATGTTTCCACATTCCCATATCTCTGAAGGCCAAATAGAAGCCCTTGTTTTGTAACAAGCTACTGTCTGAAGGTCTTCCACCTGCTGGGGTAAGGGTCTTCACTGACCCCAGCAGACTGGAGTGAGTGGGGCAGCATGGTGGAGGGAAGACACCTGGCCAGAGGCCCCTGGTCCTGGCTGGACACCTGCCAGGTGGTCATGGTATGCCTGCCCCTCGGCAATTTCTACAGCTGGCAACCACTAGGTCACATCCATCTCTGAAATCCTGAAGGCAGCATCCAGCCTGCCTGTGAGGGTTAGGCCTCTCTGTAACCGAGTCTGAGGGCAAGGGCCACTTCAGAAAATGCTTCATCCTGACAGGCAGCTCAAGGCTATTTGCTAAATCATAGCCGACATGTGCAGTGTAACACTTGTCAGTCCACCCTGAGATAGTATTTGTTGATTTAACAACTATTACTGCCACTGGGGAAAAAGAAGTGAGCCTCGGGTGCAGCAGCAGTGTTTGTGGGCAGATACGCAGTAGACCCTCCCACCGGTGTTTGGAGAGTGCTGGTGCTGGGAGGAGTCAGAAACGGGCTCTGCAGCGCTCCTGCTTGAAGTCCCAGGGACTTCGCTATCATCCCTCTATCTCCTTCCTCCCAGGGAAAGCAGTTTATGCCTCACACTGTGAATTCTCAGAAACTGCTCTTCAGCAAGTGCTAGTTGTTATACCAACTGCCTATGGAAAACTCAGGGACAGAAATAAATGCATCGAGATAATATTTAACCGGTTTCCTTTCTCTCCCTGCCCTGCCTCCCTCCACTTTATTAGGACTCCGGCGGGCGCCTGAGCAGCGGTGCAATCCCCAGGGACGAGGGCAGCGCCCGGCAGGGCTGGGGCAGCCGGGCATGGCCAGCACGGCTGTGCAGCTCCTGGGCTGCCTTCTGAGCTTCCTGGGCCTGGTGGGCACGCTCATCACCACCATCCTGCCGCACTGGCGCAGAACAGCGCACGTGGGCACCAACATCCTGACGGCCGTGTCCTACCTCAAGGGGCTCTGGATGGAGTGCGTGTGGCACAGCACTGGCATATACCAGTGCCAGATCTACCGGTCCCTGCTGGCACTGCCTCGCGACCTACAAGCAGCCCGGGCGCTCATGGTCATCTCCTGCCTGCTCTCGGGGGTGGCTTGCGCCTGCGCCATCATCGGCATGAAGTGCACCCGGTGCGCCAAGGGTACGCCGGCCAAGACCACCTTCGCCATCCTCGGGGGCGTGCTCTTCCTCCTGGCCGGCCTCCTGTGCATGGTGGCGGTCTCCTGGACCACCAACGACGTGGTGGCGAACTTCTACAACCCGCTGCTGCCCAGCGGCATGAAATTCGAGCTCGGCCAGGCCCTGTACCTGGGCTTCATCTCCTCATCCCTCTCGCTCATCGGGGGTACCCTGCTCTGCCTGTCCTGCCAGGACGAGGTGCCCTACAGGCCCTCCCAGCCCCAGCCCCGGGCAGCCACCACCACGGCGGCCACCGCACCTGCCTACCAGCCCCCGGCTGCCTACAAGGACAACCGGGCGCCGTCCGTGACCTCGGCTTCACACAGCGGGTACAGGCTGAACGACTACGTGTGAGTCCCCAGGGCTGGCCCTCCGGGGCACTGTCTGGCCGCTGGGCCCGCGAGGCTGCGGACTGATGCCGGCTCCAGCAGAGTTCACTTCTGGGCGGTTCTTGTTTCCAGGGAAAGAATGTGAACGCCGGAAGTGCTCCCAGGACACAGGGAGAGAGGGGGGAAGACAGAGGAGAGAGGCTCTACATACCAAAGACACTTAAAAAATCTCTACTGTTTTTTTATTTATTATATGTATTTATGTGGGTGATTTAATATCAGGTTAATAAAAAGTGACTTGGGAGCTGGTCCATGGATTTGTTTGTGATACAGGAATGAACCTTTTTGACGGGGTGGTTTATGTGATGGACAGCAGTGTTTCTGTTTCTAGACTGCTCTGTCTGCTGGGGCACACTGCGGGCTCAGGTTAGAGGGCTCAGCGCCGCGCTGACAAGCACCAGGGAGCAGCCACCTGATGCCTGATGGGAAAATCGGAAGACAACAGGGCTGACATCCATCCAAAAGATGCTTGAGCTACACCTACAGACACAGTCACCGTGTCTAGAGTAATCCCAGAGGCAGGGCAAAGGGGAAAGGGCTTCCTTGGAGAAAAGATAGTTGCCATAAATCACCCCCAAAAAAGGATGTTTTCTATGTATGAGATCCTTACCAGTGAGAAAACAAGAGTTAGAGGGAAAGCAAAGTCAAACATGCCTGGTGGCCTGGCTTTCTAGGCATTGGAAAGAAGCCCTAAGGCCCTGCAGGAAGTTGCTGGTTTCCTTTGTAGGGTGGCTGATCCCGGCTGCCACCAAAGGAGGTCCCAGTCTCTGCTGGCTGCTCCTTTAGCGGGAAAGAAGTGAGGGGAGGGCTGGGTCAGGCCTGACTGCTTTCTGAATGCTGATAGTCCTTTCTTTTTCTTTTTTTTCTTTCTTGTTCTCTTTCTCTCTTTCTCCTTTCTTCAATCCTTCTTTTCTTTTTCTTTCTTTCTTTTTTCCATTAAGCAAGAAACAGAGAGATAGCACCCTAAACAGAGTCCTTCTTATCATGATTCACTCATGTGCCCAGCCTCAGCCAGCCCGTGATCACGGGCATAGCCGTACCCATTCTATTCAGGGAGGTCTCTGCATGCCCACCTGACCTTCCCTACATGTCCACCTGACCTTCCCTGCATGCCCACCTGGCCTTCCCTGCATGCCCACCTGACCTTCCCTGCATGCCCACCTGACCTTCCCTACATGCCCACCTGGCCTTCCCTGCATGCCCACCTGGCCTTCCCTACATGCCCACCTGACCTTCCCTACATGCCCACCTGACCTTCCCTGCATGCCCACCTGACCTTCCCTACATGCCCACCTGACCTTCCCTGCATGCCCACCTGACCTTCCCTACCTGACCACCTGACCTTCCCTACATGCCCA